GCCAGGTGTTGTGGCGGGGGGCCGTGGGCCCAGCTGCTTGGGAGGCTGAGGCAAGAGAATCGCCTAAGTCCAGGAGTTGGAGGGTGCTATGAGCTGTGTGATGCCATGGCACTCTGCCGAGGGTGGTAAGTGAGACTCTGTCTCTCCAAAAAAAAAAAAAAAGAAAGAAAGAAAGAAAGAAAGAAATCCTGTATTATATTTGTAATACAAGTCATGTTTGTCTTCTACAATGAATTATAAGAGGTGCTCAGCATGACTTCTATTCATCTTTTGTTACTGGTATATTGCATATTGCAATTTTAATACAGGTTTTTCTTTACTTAAAATGCGTACATATATTTTTAGCACCCTCTGTGTGTATGTATGTTGTTTTTCAAATTGTTGGAGTAGAGCTGATTCCACTGGATAATCACATTTTTCTTCTCTATAGTCAAATACGGGGCCTCACCTTCTGGATGCATATCTGCTCTCTATTTTACACCAAGGAGAACTTCCGGGAGTTGGAAATTTGTACCAGTGACTTTAACAGAATTTCAGAATTGCTTCTGTGTAAAGCCCTGAGACATCCTAACTGTCAGCTTCAAACACTCAGGTACTCCACCAGTCTCTGCCTCAGAGTTCTCCAGGGAATAGCAGTGGTCTCCTCTTCCTTCTCTGGAGAAACACAAGAAAATGATTATCTCACTTGATAAATACTAACACTGGGAAGGGAACTAAGGCAGGTGAATGTGCCCATTGCAGTAAGGGGGTGGGGTGCCCCTGAAATCCTTGGTATTGTTTTTAGAAAATAAAAGATAGTTGATTCAGGTATTGATGAATTACAAGCTGTCCAGGTGAAAGAAAATGATATCATTTTGGGTTCTGTTCAACCATATATAAGAGACTTCCTCTCCTCTTCACTCCCCCGCCCAAAGGTCGCTGAAGCACATAAGGCTTATTTTTCTACTCCATGAAAGGTCTGGAGATAGAATGCTTGTGGCAGACACAGTGTTAGGTCAGGTTCCTCTGTCTGTGACCAAGATGATCTTGGGTCCAGCCATCGTGGCTGCCTCAGGAAGCACCAGCAGGAGGAGGGGAGAGAAAGGTACACGGCTAAGCTTCTGCAGCTTCGTTGATGGTTGTAGATTCTTCCTCCTATCACTCTCCTTGCTTCTCATTGACATGCTCCTCTTTCTTTTTTTTTTATTTATTTTTTGAGACAGAGTCTCACTCTGTCACCCTGGGTAGGGTGCCATGATGTTATCATAACTCACAGCAACCTCAAATTCCTGGGGTCAAGTGATACTCCTGGCTCAGCCTTCCGAGTAGCTGGGACTACAGGTGTCCACCACAATGCCCAGTTAGTTTTTTTTTTTTTTTT